GCATAAGACTTATTAGCATCTGCTAAATCACCTGTATCCATTACTAGAGTGCAAAGGTTGTTAGCTGTTTGGAAAGAGATTTTTAACTCTTTTCCTGCTAGAATCTATCTGGGGCCCATTCAATTCATCACAGTGTCTTACCGTATATCCCCATGTATTATGAGATTGTACACAAAGTAAAGATAAATTATGTCAGTGTCCTCCCTTCATATTTATCCTTTTGTAATAACATATGTATATTGTAATAATTTTTAAATCATTTTATAATTATACAAATAGTTTTTCAAACAAAATTCAAATAGAAATACTCTGCATTATTTCAATTGTTTTTACTGGTAAAACATTACTGTAAAAATCACTTATTTCACATGGCAAAATACTCAATCTAAATGGTTCAGTGATAAGTGCTTTAAAATGCAAATAAATAGATCATAATATTCTACAGTAAATTGCTGTTCACATTATTTTATATTGATACAAAGCATGGTCTGGAGTACAGCCTCTTATAAGCAGATGGAGCACAATTTTCTTAACAGTGGAACAGGCAGTCTGAAACCAGTCAAATTTCTTCATTGTGATCAAGACCTACATACTCAGATAATACAGTGCTGGTACCTTACAAGCACTTAAGAAAGCTACAGGTAACCAGAAGACAGCTTGCTCGGCCATGGACTGGTCTGCTTATTTAATGAGAAAAAAACCCCTAAAAGTCAAGTTTTATGTCATGAGAGTCAAAATCATTTCCCCAGTGATCGCACACAATTCCAACCCCTGAGTTTATATTTGGCAAATTCTACTTTTTTTGCTGAATAATGTTAACAGCACTGCCACCCTCATTTCTGAGGTGCTCTAAACTTCAGAATCAGGAGGATGTGTTTAAGTTATTCTTAGGGAAAATAGAGAGAGACTGAGAAAAATCCATATAATGTAGAAAAAATGTAAAAAAATATTGGAGTGAAGGATGAAGAAAAAACAAATAAACCAAAAATCAAGGAAAAACATAGGCACCACCACACTGGATCACCACCCACAGTCCATCCGTCCAGTATCCTGTCCCCAACAATGGCCAGCAATGGATGTTTCACAGGAAGATGCTAAGACTCCTAGTAGACAGATGTGGGATAATCTGCCCCATCTCTCTCCAGTTAAGGTCTCATCATAATTCCTAATAATTAAATATTGGTTTAACCCCAGAAGCATGAGGTTTTATAGTCCCTCCAAAACATTTTTTAGCATTAACTATTATAACTCTGAACATTTTTGTTATCCATATAAATGTTTAGTATCTCCTAGAATCTTGCTACATTCCTGGCCTCAATTAGTGGCAATGAGTTCCACAATCCAATTACAGGTTGTATATGAAAAAGTATTTCGTTTCATTAGCTTTGCATTAACCACCTTTTAATTTCATTGAATATTCTCTTGTTCTTGTGTTATGAGACAGGGAGAAGAGAAGTTCTCAATCTACCTTCTCTATACTCAAAAAGAAAAGGAGTACTTGTGGCACCTTAGAGACTAACCAATTTATTTGAGCATGAGCTTTCGTGAGCTACAGCTCACTTCATCAGATAACATCTGATGAAGTGAGCTGTAGCTCACGAAAGCTCATGCTCAAATAAATTGGTTAGTCTCTAAGGTGCCACAAGTACTCCTTTTCTTTTTGCGAATACAGACTAACACGGCTGTTCCTCTGAAACTTCTCTATACTGTTCATTATTTTATATATATTTTATCATGTCCTCTTTTATTTATCTAAGGTAAACAATCCCAGTCTTTTCAATCTCTCTTCATAGGAATTCTTTCATGCCTTTAATCATTCTCAGTACCTTTCCCTGAACCCTCTCTACATCTGTAATATCCTTTTTGAGATGGGGTAATCAGTTCTGCACACAACATTCTCTGTGAGCATGAATCATTTATTTATATTAGTAAACTATTCTGAAAAGGTACAATTACATGAATACACAATATCCATTCTTATGTTCATTGTAATGTATCTGCATATCAATAGATGCATTTATGTGACATTTTGTTGCATCTTCTTACATTTAAAATCTACATAGGAATAACAGATGAGATATAAAACAAGTTCTGGCTACTTATGGATCCATGGAACATTTTCCATGAGTAGGGATTTCATGTCCATTACTCTTGCCAAATTGGAACTCAGGTAATTATATTCTGCCCTACTTAAAATTCACCCTGCATTTTCAGCCCAGAGATAGCAGCATCATTCTTGTATATAGTTGGTATATTAATACGTTAACTTTATAATATGATTTAGGATCCCTTAGGATGAAAGTTATAATAGAAATGCAGGTTATTATATAATTCGCTTCCAAAAGTTTTGAATACAACAAATTACATTTTGTGTTAGTTCTTTATGCACCAACTATACCATACAACTGTTTCACTAATAAAATTAATTTCAGTACTACAAATTATATTATGATCTTCTCCTCAATCTAGTATTTTGGCTAATGCTCAGACTTAAGAGGAGCAGAGGAGAAGCAATCCTCTTGTATTTTAAAAATATTTTTATTAGGCTTTTTTGGACAGGAAAACTGTCCTGCAAGATTCCAAAGTTATGCTATGGAAAGCTAATACAATAAATGCAATTATGTCAAAGTGACAAAAAATTAAATAGAGAAAATAGAGAATGTTCATTTCTCTAACATGTATTGTAAGAGATATCCCTTTTGCGATCTGCTCTTCAGCTCACATTTAGGCCTTGCTCCTATGAAGTAAACCACGTGGACAGACCTTGTGGAGTCAATGGAACTTCTTTTTGGACTTCTGGGTCTCAGCCTGTAGCATCACAGGGTACTCCCCATTTGGATCAATGAATTAAATGATTCCTTCAAATATTTGGAAAAGTGAAAGGTAGGGAATGTATTACAGGATACAAATGACTGAATTGAAAGAACCAGGACTTGATAGCAACAGTAGGAAATTCCCAAAGGAAACTGAAAAGCATTAATGAAAGATTTCTAAATAGTGTATTTATTACCCTCTTGTGTCCTGATCCTGCAGAGACTTGCATGTATATTTAACTGTTAGTAGTTCCACTGATGTCTGTGCAGGACTGGCGGGAAAGGGGGAAAGCCAATTTGAATTCTTGAAGCAACAAAACAAGGTACATAATTATACAAATTTCTTTATACAAGGGTTTTCCTGTTAGAGGTCTGGAGTCCTCTGCCTTTACTCAGAGCACGATCCTTTGGTTAAAAAGTCATGTAATTACAGGAGGGAGCGAATAGAAACATCTGTAGTTAAGATTACCTAACACTGTCTGCTGTACCTAGCATGCTCCATCTCAGGGCTGCATGGGTTGAGCAGGACCTCTAACACAGGATCCCAGTGCCCCAGTGAGGGCACCCTGGGCAGGCTGAGACAGGGATCCCTCCACCATGACAGGGGTCTCTCTGCCCCGACAGGCACTGAGACAGGGATCCCTGCGCCCCCATGGAGCATGGTGGAGCATTCTATTGACACAAGTGGGTCCCTAGGGGGGACCTGATGGGGGTGCCTCTGGTGGGCACCGACTCAGGAGTCCCTGCACACCAATGGGGACACCATTGGTGGGCATGGACAGGGGTCCCCATGCCCTGACGGGGCCAGCTCTGTCGGGTACCGACACAGGGGTCCCCTCACCTCGACAGGGGTACCCCTGGCAGGCACCGACACAGAGATCCCCATGCCCCAACATGAGCACCAACACAGGGACCCCGATGCATCAATGGGGTGCCCCGGTGGACACCAACACCGAGATCCCCATGCCCCAATGGGCACCAACACAGGGGCTCCAATACCCCAACAGGCACCGACATAGAGATCCCCGTGCCCCCAGAGCACAGACACAGAGATCCCCGTGCCCCCACGGGCAGAGACACAGAGATCCCCGTGCCCCCACGGACACAGACACAGAGATCCCCGTGCCCCCACGGGCAGAGACACAGAGATCCCCGTGCCCCCACGGGCACAGACACAGAGATCCCCGTGCCCCCACGGGCACCGACACAGGGAGTCCTGTGCCCCCACGGGCACAGACACAGGGAGTCCTGTGCCCCCACGGGCACAGACACAGGGAGTCCCGTGCCCCCACAGCACAGACACAGAGATCCCCGTGCCCCCACGGGCACAGACACAGGGATCCCCGTGCCCCCATGGGCACCGACAGAGAGATCCCCGTGCCCCCACGGACACAGACACAGAGATCCCCGTGCCCTCACGGGCAGAGACACAGAGATCCCCGTGCCCCCACAGCACAGACACAGAGATCCCCGTGCCCCCACGGGCACAGACACAGAGATCCCCGTGCCCCCACGGGCACAAACACAGGGAGTCTCATGCCCCCACGGGCACCGACACAGGGAGTCCTGTGCCCCCACGGGCACAGACACAGGGAGTCCCGTGCCCCCACAGCACAGACACAGAGATCCCCGTGCCCCCACGGACACAGACACAGAGATCGCCGTGCCCCCACGGGCAGAGACACAGAGATCGCCGTGCCCCCACGGGCAGAGACACAGAGATCGCCGTGCCCCCACGGGCACAGACACAGGGATCCCCGTGCCCCCACGGGCACAGACACAGAGATCCCCGTGCCCCCACGGGCACAGACACAGAGATCCCCGTGCCCCCACGGGCACAGACACAGGGATCCCCGTGCCCCCACGGGCACAGACACAGAGATCGCCGTGCCCCCACAGCACAGACACAGAGATCCCCGTGCCCCCACGGGCACCGACACAGAGATCCCCGTGCCCCCACGGGCACCGACACAGAGATCCCCGTGCCCCCACAGCACAGACACAGAGATCCCCGTGCCCCCACGGGCACCGACACAGGGGGTCATGTGCCCCGCCCTAACCGGGCGCTCCTGGCGGGCCTCGAGACGGGGCCCCCTGGCGGCCTTGGCCAAAGGGAGCCGTCTCACGCCCTCGTAGCCCCGCGCTCTGGCTGGGAGGGAGCCGCAGGAACTGGGACCTTCCCCCCAGCAGTGCCCTGAAGCTGCCTCCCCTCCTCGCAGCCGCGGGAGGGGTCGGGTGGCCCCGCCCGCCGTCCTGTGGCCGGGCAGCCTCTGGCTCCTCAGTGGCCGGCGCGGCTGCCGCTCAGGCCCCTGGCTGCCCGCCGCGGGGATGGTGGGACGGGCGCGGGGGAAGCGGTTAGAGCCGCGGCGGCTTCGACCCTAACGGAGCCCGGAGCTGCGAGACAAGAGACGGGACCGGCCTCCTGCTCAGCAGCCAGCCGGAGCCCTGCCAGGTTTGCCGCGACTTCTTTCCCCCCTTCCTCCCTCAGGGGCCGGGACCCCGGGGCTGCCTCCTCCTGCGGGCGGGACCGCTCCCCCCCCATGAGCCTGGCCGCTCAGCAGCGGAGCTCCTCAGCCTGTGCCCTCAGCTCCCAGCGGGGCCTGTGCGGGGGAGCGGGGTGGCCCCCGCCGTGGAGCCCCGTCCAGCCTCAGGCAGTGGCAAAGGGGACATCGTAGGACATTAAATTGTGATGTCATAGAGTCAGGATCAGGACATCATAACGTGGCAAAGGTCATGATGTCATTGCCTTGTGATAATGAGGTCATCCACTGGGCTAACATACTGATGCACCAGAGCAGCTTTGTGTGTCTATACAAGACCTGCCTAAAGTGGAAAAGTGACAACACGGAGACCTGCATGGTGATACAGTAGCTTCGTGCACACCTGTCAGTCACTAAAGCTTCTCTGTGCCATATGCCCTCTCCCAAGAAAACCCCCCTACACTTAACACAAAAGAAATGTATGTGTGGATTGACACCCTCAACTTGCAAATCCCATTAGTGAGTGCAAAGCTTGTTCCTACTGTAATAAGGAGTTTTACCTTATACCAGTTTAAAGTATAAGTTAGTGAAAATAGTCTTGTTTTTAGCATTTACTTATTTGACAGTGCTTTGTGTACAATGGGTTATGGCTGTAAAATCAATTCGGTCCTGATCCTGCAATGAGCTCTTTGTGAGCAGACCTCTGCACTCTCACAGTTCTCCATTGCAGCCAGTGGAGCTCTTTAGGAGTTCACATATGTAGTGCTTATTGCAGGATTGGGGCAGAGTTGATTTCTTCTCTCGTGAAACTACCCATATAAAAATCTACAAGGGAACAGAAAAACCCTTTATAAATCAATTTTTGAAAGGATTTTTTAAAATTCAGGACCTCTCTCTATCGTAACTTGGAATTATATTAAAGGAGTCAATAAAAAAAACCACCACCAAAGTTAACAGTGTTCCTTCATAGCTCAGTACAGTGGTTGGTGACAAGCTGAAAAATGTCTTTCTTGGAGAACTCCCAGACAGGGGCCATCTCTCCAGTCATCCTCTCTATGCAACATCATTTTTACAGTTACAGCACTGAAAATCCTTCAAATTTGGGGTCCCTGAGATTAGGCACATATGGTCCACATATCACCAAACATTAATATCTCAAAGTGATTGTATCTTTTGGAGCTGGGAGAAAATCCTCTACAAACTGTTTTGAAAACTGCACAATCCTGGTAAAACACAAAGACCTATCCAACCAACTTTCTCCAGCCACCCACCCTGAGGCTTATATGAATTGTTAAACTAAAACAGTGTTGTATTAAAAAGACAATGAAAAACATCATAACATTGGTGATATAAAAATCAAAACATTGTTTAAATAATGAAAGGAAAACTATCTCTATTCTTTCTGGCTCCTTGAAATGTGTGGAGAGAAAAGAAAAAAAAAACCTTACCAAACCTTTTTTTAAAAAGGGTTTAAATCATCCCAGACTTGTCAAATTTGTCTCAAGTAATGTCTGATGCTATAATTATAATTTACACTTTTTATGGGGGTTTGTTAGTTTACAAAAGATCTTAGATTAAAAAAAAAATTAGGAGACAGTGAGGAGGGAAAGAACAGGAAACTTATGTAGGTTATAGTGCTGAATCAGAACACTTTGTTAAAGCCAAGAGATGAACTCATTTTTCCCCCTCCCTTGAGGACTCAAACAAGAAACAGGAAGTCATTGATTCAAAGGAAGATCATTCACTCCACAATTGTAAGTTTATTTTGTGCCAATAAACATTTCCAGAACCCTTTATGCCTTTTGGATAATAGGAAATAATTTATTTTCACTCTTTACATCAGTGATATTTAGACAGTAACTGGATATTAATTAGCTTGTACACTGAGAAGTTCCACTTAGCTTACACACTGGTCATTAACATATACCCATATACTGAATTGTGTTTGTGCAACACCCAAATAGCCTTAACTCTACCTTGCAGTGGTACACTTGCAGAGAAGCAAAAACTCCATGACAACCGTAACTATATACATTTTCATCTTCCCAGTAACCACAAGTACTGTTAATCAACATTGTCTGAGCTGACTCCATCCTTTGTGGCCATACTTGGTCAAAAGGGGGGAAAATAACAAACAAATCCCACTGCTATAAAAATTCCTAACTGGACAAATAGCCCTAAGAAAGTCTTCAATCCCCATATTGTCCCCCCAGATTTGTGCACGGCTGGAACTCTCCTTGTTTGGATCTGCTTCTTCCCACACAAAGTTTGCAGATTAGTTGTCTCTGTGGCACCATCTTCTTGCTTCTGCATAAGGGGTGAGAGTGGAGACTTGGGGAGCTAATGACAGTTATGGGCAGGCTGGGAAGGAATGAACATTGTGCCTTTTGCAGCTCTGCAGAGAATCCTGTGAAGAGCTAATACAGCATGAGGTTCAGTCCCTAGTAGCATGCCTGCTGAAGGTATGCTCCCCAGTATCAGAAAGGATAATGGGGGTTAGAGACAGTGCCTTCCAAAGGTTCATCAGGTAGGGTGAAGAATGAAGAAATTAGAAACCTGGAAGGTTTACAGTCCAAGACCCTAGTTCTGCAAACACTTATGTATATGCTTAGCTCTACTCATGTTGGTAGTCAGATTGAAGTCGATAGAACAGTTTGTGTGCTTAAAGTTAAGAAAATGCAAAAATGTTTATAGGATTGAAGTCTAAGGCTCTGATTCAGTAAAGCATTCATATTAAAGTTAAGCACATGCTTAAGTCCCATTGACTTCAGTGGGGAATTAGGTACATGTGTAAGTGTTTTGCTGGGCAGGGATGGACTTTAGTACACGCCTAACCGCTTTCTTGTTTTGGGGCCTAAAAGAGACACTTGAAGGATTGGGTATGGGGATGTAACATGAAAGCAAATGAATATGGTGAAGAATTGACACAGCCTTTGACAATCACATCTGGTTATTGACTGTTTTTGTTTCTTCCTTTCTTCTAATTTTTTAAGTAAGGTACAGATCAGGGAAGGAATACGTAAGTTAGTAAGTGCGAAGGAGTGAGTAAGAGCAAGCTAGTGGGAAAAGGAAGAGGCACAATCAGTTTGTTACCTGCCTATCCACGATCAGCAAATGGTTTTGTAGGCATCACAGCAGAGATGAATTTTAAATAGGGATTGAAAGTAGAGGGCAGTGGTAGTACAGATTTTATGAAATAGGAAAAAGTATGAAGGTATGTGAGTATTAGCCAAAGTTGCCAATGTGAACGAGTTCAAAAAAAGATCCATAATTAACACACAGAACATTTAATTTCAACATCTACTTGAATTAACTGCCCAAAAACTTGGATACCACAGAGTTATCGTTGCCCAGGGGTGCCATATGTTGTTCTTCCAGCATCTGAAGGGTGGCTAAACTTTATCCTCTGAAAGCCAAGCAAAGACAAGTTAAGGTAACACAAATTTAAACCTCTGAAAACCAGAAGTTTAAGTTTAGCCACACTCCACATGCTGGAAGGGCATGTCTCAGCACTAGGCAACCTTGACTCTGCATTAATTATGGTTTTGGACAGTTAATTTCACTCACCCCCAATGTCCCACAGCTCAGCTCTCCCCCTTCACTGCTTCCGACTCATTCGCATAGATTACTGCAGTCACAGAAGGCACTGACATATGCATGTTAGTCCCTTCAGTCCCCCTGCATCGTCTCCTTGTCCCCGCATCTCTCTGCCTCTCCAACACAGATGAGTCCTCCCTCTTTCAGTGTTGCCAAGTCTCACAAATTTATTGGAAATTATGCAATTTTGGCCTCTTCTGGAGCCAGTCTCACAGTGATAGGAGACGCTCCAGCATTCATGCAATTTTCAGATTATACAGGGGAAAACCCCCTTAAATTGGCTGCCTTGCCTACTTTTCTGCCTCCTGGAGAACAGCTAATGACAGCTGCTTCAGGAGGCAGGCAGAACTCTCTCTCTCTCTCCCCCCTTCTCCTCAAGGGCAGGTTTTGGATAGGGAAAGAAAGACATGGAGAAGGCAATACATTTTCACAAGAGAGATGGGGAAAGGAGGTAGCAGAAAGAACCCCTTATCTTAGGGCTCCTTCCCACCACCTCTCTTGTGAAAAACAGGTTAAGTTCTTCTCTGCTCGTCCCTCTTCCTTTCTAATGCTGCAATCCCAGGCCTATGACAGGAGAAAGGAGAACCTTCTTAGACCTGCCCTCCCACCAGGCATGGGAATGGGTGAAGAACCGCTACACCTCCATGAGGAGGAAAGGTGCTCTGGAGCACAGAGCAGATGTGAGACTGCAGGCAATGGGAGTGCAGAGTTGTACGAGTAGGGGGGTGGACTGGGTTGGATGTGAGCTGGGAGGGCACAAAATTAACTGATTTGGGGTTGAGGGTACAGAGTCAGTGTGGGGGCTGGGGCACAAAATTGATTGATGTAGGGGTGCAGTGGCCAAAACTTACTTCTTACTGTAGACTGGCAACACTAATTGCCAGACACATTGGGGGAGTTCAAAAGTCAGAAGACAGCTCAGAAACATTTAATCTTAAAAAAACCCACATAATATTTTGGGATGTGTGTGGCTCATTGTGACGGAGGTGCTCTACTCACCATTGAGCAGCACCCCCTTCAGGAAAATTAGTTTAGCATCCCTTTCCAACAGTCACACGGCCCATCATCCCACTCACTCAGTCCTTCCCTCTCTTTCACCATTTTCCGCTCTCGTCCTCTCAAGTAATCGCAGTGCAGCTACTTCACAACTCAGCCCTCCTGCCAGGTCACACCATGGTTTCCCCTTTGTGTGTGTGGGGGGGGACACACATCTCTGGACAGGTATCATTCAGCAATCCTCACGCCTGCTGCTCTGACCCTGTCGTTCCTGCAGTGAGGGGCAGTGAACCAGCAGACTGCCTGCGTCACAACATCACTTGGCAGTGGTTGGTAGGGGAACCCAAGCCCACCCTCTACTCCAAGTTCCAGTCCAGGG